CCCAGCCAGTGCTCACAGGGAGGGCACCAGTGCTCCTTCCTGCCCCCCTGCCCATTGCCTGAATGGCAAGCATGGCTGGTCAGGGGGTGCACCGGCACTCTCAGGGGGTGTATGTGGACCCCTGTGCACCCCCTATGCATCGCCACTAGTCAAATCAGCCCTGGGTAGAGTCTGAGTATCTAGAGGAGATATAAGGGGTCAGACTAGTGAAGTGGGTGTTGAACTCAGTGGGTGAATTGAGCCTAAGTTTCTCAACTCTCTGGTCCTAATCTCTGAACCATCCTTCCTCTTATGCCATCTCATCCCACCCTCTCGACCCTCTCCCACCGCCCACTTGCTGCCCCATGTCTGGCCCTTTCTTCAAAGACATGTCCCCCCTACTCCGTGCTGATTCTTTTACTGGCTGTCTTCTCTTCCCAACTATGCCTGTCTCGTCCTGTGGAGGACTGTAGAAGATGGAGAACCAGGTTGTGCTAGACCAGGGGTGTCAAATACATGGCCTGCAGTGCTCCATCATCCAGTCCTATCCATCTCATCTGACCTACCAGACCTGACACCCCTGTGCTAGACAGACAGAGATTATGAAATGGAAGAGCAGTGAAAAAGTCAACATGGAGCCAATGTATTTTTTTAGCCAGGAGAATCAGTGCCCAGGAATAAAAGAAGGAATTGTACCTGGGGCTGCTGAGAATTTTTTTATAACTGCCCCAAAACATTGTTAATGTAGTGTCAAACTTCCCTAGTTGTGTCTCATGCCACATCGGACTGTGGCTGCTGGCTAACCTACACCTTTGAAAACAAGGAAACAAAAATTCGAAGAACACACTAACCCACACTGGAGCATGAACTCTGTTCTCTTTCAGCAATTCCCCACTGTGCCAGAAGCACGCTTGTTTGCAGTGTACCTTTACAGATGCTAGCAAACATTTCAGGGGCAATGTGCACTGTTGGTGAAAGTCTGCACCTCTTTGCTACAGGAAAAATTAGGTTTAGATCAGGCTTAGCAAAGTGGAGTTGGCTACACCAGTATGCTGAGCTTCTAACATGAAAACTATCCAGACTTGCTGCAAGTTACCTCAGCTTCATCCTTACCCCAGAAATCCATTCAGAGATACTATCTTTCTTTTCCTTTCAGTTAGCCTTTAAAGATCAGTTATATGTGCCACCAGGCTGCTGACACTGTATGGCACAATAATCTCTGCAGAAATGACCTACAAAATGCAGCACTGAAGTGAAGTGTACTTGATTCTCTGAAGTATATATGAACCTTTCATGGTATCACAGTGCCACCCTGCTCCATATTCCTTTCACGATTCAGAACAGTTGCACTTTACAACAAGAAGGCTACTAGAGTGCATGCAGATAAGTGCTGAAATTCAGATTTATGGAGCTGCTTAGGAAATAATAATGTAACCCTTTGGCCAGGCACAGGTCGGCAGCAAAAAGGGCCGGGTTCACATTTCAGGGTACCCCATAAATTATACCGATGGCTCAAGACCCCACCCAGAAATCTGGGAACACTAATTTGCTTGGGTATGACTATAAACAAAACAAAAAATAACCCTCCTTGCAATCAGTGTAAACACAAAACCCAAATGTATTACAAAGAATTTTAAAAAAGCAAAAGAAAATATTAAATATAGCTTTAAAATAATATTGACTACAAAGCAAAGTCTATAGGCCTCACCCATGTCCAGGAAGTCTGGAACCTGGGGCTCCCCAAAGGATAGTTCTGGGAGCCTTCAACAGTACACTTGCCCTTCAGCAATAGGCCGTAGAGAAGAATCCACACCAGAGTCCCAGGAGCTGCTCCCTGGGTTCAGCTCCCTGGAGCTGTTCGAGAGTATGGGTCCTTCTGCATTGCAAAGGGCTCCGTTGGTCCTGGAGATGTGGGAGAGCACCAACCTCCACTTCCGCATGGTGATTTTGAGGGGTTAACTAGTTTTTGTCAGCATACCACACCCCAAAATTCCTAATCCCAATCCCAGCTCTGCTTGGCAGGAAACTACAAAAGAACTCAGAGGAAAGGTGAGGCCTATCTTGGTTTGGGCCTGAACTACAAGTAGCACCCAACCACACTGCTTGGTTGGGACATTAACTACAAAAGGGACAAAAGGAGTCCCAGGCCTATCTCTGTGGGCCTGGACTGGACAGCAAAAAGCCATCCAGGCCCATACTGCACCAAGGCCTGGATAGACAACAAGTAGTGCCAGGTTTTACCCTGGCTCAAACCGTGCCAGACTTCACCCTGGCCCAAATCTGACACCAAACATATGGCTGGGGTTTAGCCACACAGCTAGGCTGAAATGCAATAGCTGTGAAACAGAAAAAAGGGCCCAGGATTTTCTGCTTCCTCTGACCAATGAGGTCAGAAGGTTTTAAATATTTTGCCCAGATACAGGCCCTGGCTTGCCAGGGCAGAACAACAGGGGCCATCTTGCCCACATGAACACACGCACACTTGTAATACACAACCAAAAACACACACATGACCATACACAACCCCAAGTGTGTGTGGGTGTTACATAATATGCACTCTTACGACCCCTTCATTTCTACTAATTATATGATTTACAGTCACCCACCCTCAGGTTGTGAACAGACATTCCTTCGTAGCACTACAGAAATGGAGCATTATGTGCTCTCCATGGCTCACGCATGACAAAGTCTCTTCAAAGGCTAGACTTTTGCTCCCCTTGCCCCAGGGGAGACTGTCAGTGATCCCAATCACTGGCAGCCTGTCCTCTCCAGGAGGCTGTAAGAGATCAGCAGCCCTTCCTGATGTTCCTGCGGTGGCAGTGGCAGCTGTTTCTGCCAGGGATCCAGCTGTTGCCTTCAGGTGAAGCTATTCCCACTGCCATATCTGGAAGACCACTGGCAACAACTGGTGTGTTTACAGTGGAGGCAGCTGATGTCCTTGCCACTGCCACCAAACCCCTGTGGTAGCAG